GTGCGCATCACTTTTACAATTTTAACCAACTTTTCAGTGTTTTACTGCCCAAAGCAAAAAAAGTGACAATGTTTACCTAATGAAGGTGAAAAATCCAAAAACGTTGAAATTTATGCAAAAATAATACTAACAGTACTCATGTGACTGGTGGACAGCAAAATACTACGTCTTACGTCCTTGACACAAACAGGACCTGAAATCTGCGTTGACCAGGCATGTGGTGTGTGGTCTACATGTGAAATTTACTTACGTTCAGCTGTCCAGCTATCTTAGACTCTTTATTACCAGATTTCAGTGAGCTTACTGTTAATAGCAATGGGCAAAAACCGTTTAATATCCAGAAAACTGTACAACAAATGGTAAAGTAGCAAACACACCTCATACAGAAAAAGCAAAAAACAAGTGATAAGCATCATTTTTGGAAGTAGAAATGCAAAGCGTGGCACTTCATTGGACAAACTTTCTCGATAGTCCATTGTGGAGCTAAATCGCTAACAAGCTTGTTAACAGTGCCGGGCAACTGCTAACTATGCCCAGAAATCTAAAATAGAATGGAAAAGGTCCTTATTTGCGTTGACTTGGTCTGCTATATTCATTTGTTGAAATAAATCTTTAAAACCTACCAAATAAATTCAATACGTAGCTGTCAATCCTACAAACTTGCAGCATGTGCTCTGGTTAATTTGCAATGCATAGAGTCTGAACATGTGCAGTAACCATGAAACGGGTTCTTCAAAGATTGTGAGTTAAGCAAATTCAATGGCAGTGAGAGGTGAGAATACTCGGACAATGCAAGAGAGTAGCTGATATATTACCTTGATCTAAAGGTACCCATGGATTTGAGTTGTTTGTTCCATAATCCCCTTATTGAATGACTTGCCCTTTCTCTTACGTGGCATTAATAAAAGAACCAGAACGCTGATGGTTCCAGGGTTTCTGACCGGGTGGGAGCAACTTAAACACATGTGAGAGCAGAGCGTTTAGGTACTGCCAAAAAATGCAAAGCCCTCCATTCCTCTGCCTTGCATCTTCGTTGACTCAGGTGATCCTGTGTTAACCTTTCTCTCTTCACTGGCCTCCTGAATTACTGATAAGGGCAATGGCTTCGGGTAATGGCCCAACTGATTGGAAGCAAATCATTGAACTGACGGTTGACCATCATGCGCATGACCCTTGGCACTAAAGCATCAAAGAACTCTCACGAAATTTATTTGTGGTGGAATCCAGAGCCTTTTCGTGATTTTAATCACTGAGGAGAGCCTGAAGATATTTTTGGAACTGAGATTCTAGCACCCAGATCCTATCTCGCATAGCTTGCAAAACTGGGTTGATAAAACCGGACCTGGGATGACTCCTCTCTATTGCTACTATCTTCAGGTGAATGAAGTAATATATTGATTTCTTCTCTTAGCTTGCTGCAATAGGGGCAGGAGAAATAGGTTGTCTGATGTAATTCATAGCAATGGTCAGCATTGAATGTTGAATTTTAATGACAGTTGCTTATCACACTTTCATTTTCCTCTTGAAAATTTGGTGCAGCGTTGTTTCTTACTGATCTCGATAATCTACGTTAGAAACTGCAGGCTGCTGTTGAACTTCTTGGAATTGATTTCGTTAAAAAAATGTCAACCAAAATGGGTTCCAATTTTCAGCTTACAAGTCAAAAATAGGCTATGTACATACAGTGAATTTCAGGTCTGCTTTTAAATGAGATTATATGGAAATCGCTCCTTTATTTTGTGTGTAGGTGGTGGCTGACTTGCACATTTCAAGTGCTGATTTTTAATGTGCCTTCAGACTGCCTCACCTTGGTGCAAACTGGGTTTAGGTGATAATGCTAGGTCGAAGTTGTTGCCTGGTGCCTTTTAGTGGACTTGTTGCAGAAGTTGTACGCTTCAAAATGGCCAAAGCAATACTCCTTGTCATCCTCCTCATTGTAGCCCTCAATAGTTGTGGACAGTGGTTTCTTGCATCCAGGACATTTTCTAATACCCCTGCTAAAACTTTTCGGGACAAAGGGTGCATTCGATGGAGGGTCACTGGGTTTGGCACACTTCTTTTGACCACAGTTGTGTCACCAATTTTTTCAGATGTAAAGTGGTGGTCGTCCAAAGCAATCTGGGGTGATACTGTTGCGTCGTCTCGTGAACGCTTGGAGGTGTCACTTTGGCTCCAACTGATTTGGGTGCAGATGTGCTGAGCCAAGTTAAACTCCTTCCTGGGAAACTTGCAACTATCTGCTTTACCCTTCCTGTTTGGATGGCAACTGCGACACAATGATGACTGGTACTGTTGGAACTGAAAAAACTGCTAGAACAGGAACACTTGCTAATCTTCAAAAGCTGTATTTTTCAAGGAAGTGAGGCACCACTGTCAACTAAAAATGAGCCAGTTTGAAAGGCTTCTCGCAAGCCCTTGTTGTGAATAAGGGCTTAGCCTTTTCTGAGAGGCTGGATATTTCTTCTCTAGAAAACAGACCCTCCAGTTGTGCAAGGTCACGAATGCTGCTTGAACTGGGGACTGGCACTACAGTGGATGGTGTGTGGGTGGAAGAACTTGATAAGGGTTGTGTGAACTTGAAGCTTCAGCTCTTCTTGTAGGCATTTGGGTCCGGGCGAGGCTTAGATATCTGCTTCATTGCATTTTCCCTCTCTTCCCTTGTCATCTCACCATATTGTGCTGTTTAAACTCGTCAGAAACTTTCCACTTGTCTGATAGTGGAAACCAAGCTAACTCTGTTGCCATTGTATTTGATTCAACAAAATTGTACAGAGAAACAACAAAACAAAGTTATTCCACTCCTTTAACATGGCGTCTACACAGGCCCCTAGCAAGCATAAAATGACTTGGGGGCTGACCGAGTGGCCCTCATTAACTCTCGCCCCCCACTGCAGACCTTCAGTTAAAGGATACTTGTTGGTACATATCAGATCACTACATTTGTCTACAATACCTTTTGTTTTTGTCTGTAATTTTCCGTTTGTGTTGACTTTGACGAAATAGAGAACTTGTTTGGGATATCGTTCGCGGAAATTTGGCAAACAATTGCTTTCGGTTTTCTTTCTCCCCAACAAAGTCATTAGCTATGTCTACAAGGGTCAGAGCATCTGTTCTGTTCTTGTGAACATGCAACATGAGGTGGTTCAGTCTAGAGTCTCCCGTTGTTGAGCGCAAATACTTTTTTACCCGCTTTAAAGCTGAAAACTATCTTTCACTAACGGCATTAATTGCTGGCATGACGATTAACAAGTCTTTGAAACTTCAGCTTCCATTGACAGTTGTCCATTTTAGTAGAAAAAATTCCACTTTTGTGGCAGAACTTAATTGAAGTCTGAAAATTTCAGGGGGGCTCGAGCGCCCCCTGCCCCTCTTCCTGCTACAGGCCTGGTTTACAGCTTCTGGGATGTTCTGCCAGTATGGCTCCTCCCCCAGCCCTAGCTCCTTCACAACTTACTTGGCCATTCTGTCTCTCGTGTCGTCCAATTTACATTTACAGAAGTACTCCACAAACTGTGGGTCTTTGTGCTCTGATGACTCCAACCTGTGCCAGTGTTCCATTAGAACTTGCACCCTCCTGTCGAATTCTTCCTTAGAATAGGACCACAGAAGTCCAGTGCCTTTGGCGTAGAGATCCTGAAGAATTTGTTCACAGAGGGCTTGTGACAGGCGATACGCCCTAACTTTTCTGTGACATTTATTTGCTGCGTAAGTAACAGAGCAGCGGGTGTAACTGAGGGAAACTAGCAGAAATGGCATTATCTGTTCCAGTTGCATGAAGAGAGTTACCCAGCTCAGGTACAGCTCTTATAAACAGTGGAGGAATGACAGGTATGTCAACTGTGCTTTGGTTATGCATACTATAACTGGCCCAAGACGAGATAGGGGATGGCTGGTACCCTGCACAGTAAGCAAGTGGTTCTTGCAAGTGGTTACCGGTAGATAAAAAGGCCCTAATTGGAATGTTGTATCCAACCCAAGTTGTGAAACAAAGTTTCGTTTCTTATGGCGGCAGATGCCAATGATGTCATCCATTTGTTGGTTGATGAAGAGCATCACCGTCGGCAGATCGTTACAAGTGACTTCACTAACAGATCATGAACATGAGCCCTTCTGGAGGTCAAGCACTGCCATCAGTGGGTCACTGTTGACTTTTGATGCTGCAGAGGTTGTAAGTCCCAGCTGATGTTTTGTGATGTTGACCTGTGGTACATTTCCTGGTAAAGAACTCGCACTCTCAGTGCCACAAACCTCACCACTATCCTCATTATCTTGAAAAGTGCACGTTTTGAATTTGTCTTGTTCTCTAAGAGGGTTTTGTACCAGACTCTGCTTTGTGCTCTCTTTTGTCTTCACATATGGTGGCACCGAGGATTCAAGCTTGCGATTACCATGTGGAGTGACTTTGAACTTTCTTGGGTTCGCTTCCCTGTACTAACGAACAAGCACTAAAGGAAACCATTTCTTAATCAACTTTCCATATTCAATTGTTACAATAATTATCTTGTGAAATTGAGGGCAGGATTTGCAAGTGTATGGGTGCCTTCTCACTGATATTGTATGTTCCCCTTCTGATGAATCCTTGCACAATGAAGAAACTTGACCTTCTGAGTTGTTTATTGCAGAGTACAACTTGTCCCTATTTCCTTTCATCACCCTACTCCTTTTGTCATCACAAAAGATATCTTTCCCATGGGCTAAGGAATTAAGGTCAATGATGAATGTTTCATTCTGCTGAATGGGGCAAGGCAATCGTGAGGAAATCAACTCGGGGTTATCCATCCTACAGTTCATCAGCAGTGGTATTATAAATGGATTTTGAAGGCTTTCCAGCATTACCATCCTTATCATCATCATCATCATCATCATCATCATCATCATCACTTTTATTTATACACGGTCAAAACAATCAGGCTAAATATACAATATACAATATCCTAAAAATGGTAACAGACTATAGAATTAACTGTGATAGCATTAGAAGATGAATGTTGAAATAAATAAAAAAATAAATTAAATTAAGTTTAAAATTAAAGCCTGTTTTCCTTGAATGCCGTGTTCGAGCTAAAAGTTAACAGTTTCCAAAAGCCAGTCAAAGATTTTCCTTGTCTTACATCAGTCGGCAAATTGTTCTACACCCTGCCCCTCGCCACTGAGCAGTGCTGTTTCTCACNACAGATCATGAACATGAGCCCTTCTGGAGGTCAAGCACTGCCATCAGTGGGTCACTGTTGACTTTTGATGCTGCAGAGGTTGTAAGTCCCAGCTGATGTTTTGTGATGTTGACCTGTGGTACATTTCCTGGTAAAGAACTCGCACTCTCAGTGCCACAAACCTCACCACTATCCTCATTATCTTGAAAAGTGCACGTTTTGAATTTGTCTTGTTCTCTAAGAGGGTTTTGTACCAGACTCTGCTTTGTGCTCTCTTTTGTCTTCACATATGGTGGCACCGAGGATTCAAGCTTGCGATTACCATGTGGAGTGACTTTGAACTTTCTTGGGTTCGCTTCCCTGTACTAACGAACAAGCACTAAAGGAAACCATTTCTTAATCAACTTTCCATATTCAATTGTTACAATAATTATCTTGTGAAATTGAGGGCAGGATTTGCAAGTGTATGGGTGCCTTCTCACTGATATTGTATGTTCCCCTTCTGATGAATCCTTGCACAATGAAGAAACTTGACCTTCTGAGTTGTTTATTGCAGAGTACAACTTGTCCCTATTTCCTTTCATCACCCTACTCCTTTTGTCATCACAAAAGATATCTTTCCCATGGGCTAAGGAATTAAGGTCAATGATGAATGTTTCATTCTGCTGAATGGGGCAAGGCAATCGTGAGGAAATCAACTCGGGGTTATCCATCCTACAGTTCATCAGCAGTGGTATTATAAATGGATTTTGAAGGCTTTCCAGCATTACCATCCTTATCATCATCATCATCATCATCATCATCATCATCATCACTTTTATTTATACACGGTCAAAACAATCAGGCTAAATATACAATATACAATATCCTAAAAATGGTAACAGACTATAGAATTAACTGTGATAGCATTAGAAGATGAATGTTGAAATAAATAAAAAAATAAATTAAATTAAGTTTAAAATTAAAGCCTGTTTTCCTTGAATGCCGTGTTCGAGCTAAAAGTTAACAGTTTCCAAAAGCCAGTCAAAGATTTTCCTTGTCTTACATCAGTCGGCAAATTGTTCTACACCCTGCCCCTCGCCACTGAGCAGTGCTGTTTCTCACTCACCGGCTGGTCAGCGGTCTTGTTTATGAGGTAAACATCGCTTCCTGATCACCGTTCTTGTGGGTGGTAGGAATGGTAAGTTTAACGAACAATTTCAAATTTGGCGCTTCAGTTGAAAGTAAAGTTTATTTGAGTGCTTTTATATGTATTTGTGACTGTTTTAGATCTACCTGCTCGATTTATAACTGTTACGCCTCACGTTGACAAGTCCCTCAAAATGGCGGCCAAACTTGGAGATTGCCGAAATTTTGGTAAGTTCACGGAGTTATAAAGTTTTAGTAAAGGTCGGGCCACAAAGTTTTTTTCTGTAGTTACCTTTTCTGTGGCACCTACTTCCTTGCTATGTTAGTTGGATCAGGAAAGAACGCTTCACTTGTTCAAAAATTTAGCTTGAATTTGATCGGTTTTCGCGTGTGACTTAAGCGAACCAATAAGGTGTCATTCAAGTCCTCCTGTTTGTTAGATTGAAACGTGATGTTAACGAAAGTCGCGTAGATGGGTAAGATAGCGTTAATATACATGGCTGTGGTATTTGTTTTTTGTTGAGTCCCATAGTTTTTTTGTAAATTGTCCTCCAAAGTTGTCTCAAATTAAAGTCTTAAAAAGTGTCACGACAGGCCTTCGCTCAAGTGAAATTTAATTTCCGTAAAACTCTGAAAAATAAAGAGAATCGATCAAACGGCTGGGGTTTTAGTATAGGTACATGTATGTCTTACAACACACAAGAAATGAGCTAAATCTGTCTCCAGCAAAATCGACCAGACCACTCTTACAAAGACACTCTCTTAAACGTATTGTTAAAATATAATAATAATAATAATAATAATTGTAAGTTCACGAGCAAAGTACTACTGCAACTGTTGAATCCAGGAGGGGATCACATGTGATAGAACTGTATGTATGGGGGGAGGGTGAAAAAGGAAGTGTTTCAAGAAGACAGTTTCAGTTTTTATGCCGTCTTTGTCGAAGGTCACTAAAATTCCAAGCTGGGCATTATTAAAGTGGCATAATCGCAGCATAATTTTAGTGGTGGGTGGTGGGAAGTTGATTTACATTTGTATGTCAAAGGAACACCAGCTTCAGTCATTGGGCAAGCAAACGTGTAAAGTTAATGTCGTTTCTTCTGTAAATGTGTTCCATACGATTTTTCATTGAGAACATGCCCACTTGGAGATTCTAAATTTTTTTTCTCATGTAACAGGTACAGGTTTTACAAGGCAGGAAAGCAACTTAAAGCAGTCCATTGGCATTAACAGAAAAGTTGCTGTGGGATCAAAAGGAGGGAAGCAAGATATAGCAAGAAATACATTAACGCACAAAAGAGTGGAACATACGGGGGGAGTTGAAATTTTTCGTTTCGGGATCTTTGGAGGGGAGTAAATGTTTTGCAAGTATTTTTTTTTGAGTAGGGATTTTAATGTTTGTGTCAAGCTTTCTGAGAAAGCTTATGGCTTGGAAATTCGGCATGGGATTTGTTTGAGATTAAATTTTGGTCCAGGCATTTTTTGGGATTTTGATTTTTGCGCCATTCAATCATCGCTGTCACTTGAAATCCAGAGTACCAACAATAATAATTACTCTCACAAGCAAACACGCTTTCTAGTAACAGTATTTGATTGATTTTTCTATGGTTTTGTAATTCAAGCAAACAAGTTGTTCATGTAGATCAAGTGACTGATATAGCATAAAAGGCTTCATAAATCAAGTAAATAATATGGCAATGTTGTTGCATGTTTATTTCAAACTCTGGTGTCATTTAGTTATCCGTAATAACATTATGATGTACAGTTAGAGTGTTCATCGCTCCTTGAGACCCATGTAGATGCCTGTAGAAGATGGGTAATGTTCACGCATTTTCCACACAACACATGATGGTGCAACTTTCCTCCTTCCCTTGCACTGCTTTTTACTGACAGTTCAAGATAATGAGGGTCCAAACAGATTTTTTAAATCTTGGTTTTTTTGCATCACAGTTTTTTTCCTACAGCACACTTTCTCCACTTCCAGGGGCATGTTGCGACAATTCCCACATACACACCACTCAGGATGTGGTCCTTGCTCCTGCAGAGGGATGGGTTGGAGTGGTGGTGTTATTGCGATACTAGCTTCAGTTGCAGGACTATGCGCCTCAGCGATGTCAATTTCATTATTATCATTATCCTTATCATTATTTTCCATAATCAGCAAGGAGTCTATATAATCCAGACTTCCGATTCCCCATCTCAGGCTTCTGATACACAGTTTCTTTATTGTCAATGAGTCAAGTGTGTTGATGAAATCCTGCAAATTATAGAGAACAACATTCATTTTGAATGATGATCTTAGAGCAGATCGGTGAAACCAAAAAGGGTGTTCTTCGTTGGGTTCCATTTCTTTGTGGTCGCATCTTCCTGTGGTCCACTCATGTTCATGGGAATATGAGCGCAAATACAAGGGCTGACCTTGACTGGCATGGTATGGTATGAATGATAGATATGACAAATAAAGATTCTAAAACTAAAAACTATAAAATATACTATTTTCAAAAATAATTTAGGGTAAAATATAATAGATAATTTCTAAAAAGACATTATGACTAAAATAGATAAAAACAACATAAAACGTATATACAATTACGGTCGAAGGAGCATTGCCGCCTTTTGTTCAGCTAGAAAGGATTTAACATCGTTATGCTTAAAACGTGCTAGTGAGCCATTATTTCTTATATTGGAATTCATGCAATTCCAGTCCTTTATAGTCCTAATAGTGAAAGTACGACCTCCTTTTTTTTTTCGTTTTTACTTGGGGCACACCAAGTTTATGTTTGAATGTCTAGTTACTCGATTATGAATTTCTGAATTTCTGACTAATAGACTATTCAAATAGATAGGTGTAATATAATTGTGGACCTGCTTATACACTAGTGCGCATCTCTTTATTAGAGATTGTTTAGTAAAAGGGAGCCAGTTTAGATTATTGAATAATACGACTGACGGTGTAAGTCTTTCAGCATCGAGTATAATGCATGCCGGTCTTTGTTGAAGTTTTAAAATACTTTGAAGATGTTTGACATTGCAGCTGTCCCATATCATGCTTCCATACAGGAGGGTGGGCTTTATAACACCATTGTAATAGGTTTTCCTTTGACGTTGCTTAAGAAACGGGTTAATATGCTTCAAGAGTCCTTTGTGTTTGGAAAGTTTCTTACATAATTCATCAATATGTGATTCGTAGTTCATCTGACTATCTATAACTACTGCTAAAATCTTATGAGAAGAGACTTGTTCAATAACAGAGTCATCAATCTTGACATCTAAGCATGGGAGTGTCTTCATCCAGCTTAGCAAGAATGCGCTTTCTGTGCACTAAAAGGGACTTCGTTTTTTCTTGTTGATGAACATTTTGTTGCAAGACGCCCATCTCTGAACCGCATCAAGATCGAAGCATAGATCTGAAAAATGCACACTTGCGGTTATTGTAGTTTCGTCAGCGTAAATGTCCACAGTTAAATTTGTTAGATGTAATGGAATGTCATTCACAAATAACAAAAACAGTGCGGGACCTAAGACACTTCCTTACGGTACCCCTTGCTTGATAAGTAGAGCTTGTCACTATCCTATGTGTCTTGCAGAATCATACTTAACAGTGGTTCAAATTCACTATCATCAGTATCATTATCATCCTCTGCCATAGTCAGATCTTCATTGAGTAGCTTCAGGGCTTCTTCGAGGTCACTGAGATAACATTAAAAAAATACAACCATGTCGAGTTAGCTAGTTACAATAATCAAGTGGCTCCATCATTACAAAACAAAAGCTGAAACTAGCCTTTACTCAGCAGAAAGGGAAAAGATTTTTACTCAAAAGAATATGAAATAAATAATGACAATAGCAGTAATTTTGTCAAAACTACAAACGACATCAAGGCACACTTTTGATCTACCTACTTTGTTGAGCCAAAATGGTCACGTGGTTGGGAATACAAACAGGACTACAGTGTCATCAACTATCTTGCAAGATTCATTGACAGCAAATGGACTTTCTGACCCAACGCCAGTGACATGAATAAATGAGTGTGACCTGTACAGCCCCCAAAATGATCCCGACCCCGAAATGATCCTGACCCGAAAATGATCCCCACTTTTCTTCTTGTCAATCCCGAAATGCTTCGGACATGATGGTGTTTTCTCTTGCCAGTTATCCCTGTTTAATAGCGTACATTGTTGTGGTGGCACGGTTTGCCGTTTTTTCTTGATAAACTTTTGTTTCAGGGTTTGGAATATTGATTGGTATGTGTTCTCTGGAATGGTGGCAGAATCATTAATGTATATACAAAGGTTGATGATGCTGATAATGGCAAGCAACCGGTGTTTCTCAGTTGGAAGGTGCACAGGTATAATAAGATGCTTGTAGTTCTGCAATGGGTTTTTTCCAACATAGTTTTTGTATGATGACGTATTTTCTGGCTTATCAAGAGAGTCGTAAAAGTAAGAACTTGCCAGAGACGTTTTTCTGTTTAGACAACGATCTCTGACGTAGAAAACCAAAATTAAGGTTGATCGTGTCCCCTTTTAATTTTTCAAAGGACAAAACCTTGGCGATACTTGCATCTAGTAAGCTTTCATCATTTCTTAGTTTTACGTGTTTTGAATTACTGGGAGTTGGCGTACAGTTATCCGGCTTAAGTGTTTTCATGTTGTTCTGTTTCTTTGCAGTATGTTGCCTTCATTTCTCTTCTTCTTTTGTCAATGATGTTATGTCGTCAGCTTCGCAGTGTTCGGATCCTCTAAATCAACATAATATCTGTATAAATCATGATCAGCTTTTAATATTTGTCCCTCACAAGTACCTCTTAAAGTTGTCTTTTTGCCCTTTACAGTTTTCTTTGTTGTCGCAATGCGAACAAGGACAGTTTCTCCAACATAATAGAGAGAAGGTGGGTTACGCTTAAGTTGTTGTTCTATCATTTTTTGTGAGGCAACCTTCGATGCTTTAAGGGCTTCATCTCTGACGTTATCTCTCTCTTTTTCCCATTGTCTTATAGTGTCCTTTTTGGAGACTTGAGCTGGAATTCAGTTTTGTCCTCTTCAGATACCTCAAAAGCTTTCCTTTCGCCAAGTGAAAGTTTATTTCTAACGCTGTTGGGCTGTCTACCATAGTACACTTCAAAGGGTGATTGAATCCCTAGAGAGCTATGTGGGGACTCGTTGTAAAGTTGTTGGTAGATCGGGAGATTTTCCCATTTGAAAGAGGGATAAATTAGCTCTATAAAAATGATTAATTTCTCTCCATACATTGAATACAGTTTTCAAAAAAAAAAATTCAAATGTGAGAAAATGTGCATAATTTATGGCAAATATCCAAGATGGACGCCATTTAGTCCAAAATGAAGTGTCTTTAAGAGATATGTTAAAAGAGCAGTTGTTACTTCAAATCCAGGCTAATTGGATGCCAAATTTCCCTGAAAATAAACGAACTATTTTTAACACATATTTTCAACACCCACTCTATTTAAAAAAAAATTGGGAAAAAATTTTTTTTTCAATTTTTTTTTTCAAGGGCTAGGGTGTGGGGGTTATGGCAAAATAATGTAATGAGCCTTTCTGAACATTTAACAACCCATATTGACGTGAGTTTGTTATTTTATGCAAAAAATTCTCAGAAATGGCCGATTTTAAAAAAATTACAAGAAAATGCAGTCTGCAAATAAAGTTAAGTTAACAACACAAACGAGCAAGTATTTGTACCTTTGTTGATATGAGAGGCTTTCCTGGTCCCCCCCTGTTTGAAACACCGGTATTAGCCACTCTGTGCATGAAGGTACAGTAATGAAATCATTACTATATCGTCACGCACGTTGGGGGTCTAATTCACTCAGCATGACAACTCATTGTAGCCAGGCCATTACTCATATATCTACCTGAAAAGAAACAAAACCAAGCCTTAGTAACTCTCACAAAAAAGGACATCATTTTGTTTCAGACCTCCTGTACAATTACTTTGCTAGCAATTCTTTTTATCATTTTTTTTACACTTACTTCTTTTTTTCATCCTAAGACTATATAAACACAATGCACCAGAGACCTAAAGAACATTATCGGCTGTGATATTCCTTGCTATGAAAGATGTCAAAACAATTTTGCTCTTCGGTGACATGCATGTGTTTACCCTGACATTGTGGGGCAGCACCATGGGAGTAAACCTTTGTTTCGGCCTTTTCCTGTGTATAGCACACAACACAGTTTTTCTTCTGTTCAGAGAAACAAAGAACATGTACGGTTTCAAGCTCTGAGGGTTGAGCCCTTTTCCTTGCTGGATTATAAGTAAGGGTATCACCGTACTCCTCAAAGCCACAGATTTCCCGAACAATTTCGTCGCGAAAATCACATTGCGAATACCCAGCCAGCCTTTCGATCTCTGTATTCTCAGCCCTTTGTGCCTGAAACAAAATGAAACTGTTAACCACAGCAATATCAATGAGATGGAAAAACAAAGTTTTCAGCCATCGCGCACATTTTGGCTGGGTGCTAAATGCAGAGAGGATTTGGTCTGACCTGTCAACAGCATTCATTTTCATGTTGTAGGTCTTAAAAATTTTTAGGCTGTTTTTCAAGTCTCTCTCCCCATTCTCCATCCGTTCTTACTCTCCGGGTCACTTGGCCCTGTTCATTTGCATTGCCCACAGTTGTTATGATGGACACAACCTTATTATCTACCCACTGCAGCACCAGACAGGGAGAGTCCCTCACCCAGCGCATACTCCCTTACTCCTGACCCTTAGCCCACTCTTGGCTGTTTTTAAGAGCAGGTGGGAAACTACGCCTGCTTAATAAAATTGTACCCGTGCCAACGACACCCTGATCATAAAGATGTTTAAAAAGGGTAAGGGTGGAGTAAAAATTGTCCACAAAAAGATGGTATTCCTTCCCAAAGTAGGGGGCCATGAGACGCATGACATCATACCCAAGCACGTGTTCACCGATAGCTTGCCCCCGATGTAGATGTTAAAATCAACGGTGTAGCCACTGGAACTATCCGACAGCACCGAGAGTTTTATACCCCATTTGGGTGGCTTGTTATTTATGAACTGGCAAAACCGAGACCTGTGATAAGACTCTACCATGCGCTCGTCAATTGCCACATATTTCTGGGGCACATACAAATCCTTACAAAGTTTTTTAAAATCCTCTTTGAAGGACTTTACCGTACGTTGCTTATTTTGAGGGTCTTTTGTTGTGGGATCTACCACATGCAGCATGGCTGAGATTGCGAAATACCTCGTGCTAGAAGGGATTGAGCGGGCCCAGAGACCATGGTAGGGGATCTTCGTACTCCAGTTCTTCTTAACATCACCTCGGATGTGAACAACGCCAAAATTAATCAAACTTGCAA